CGTCCCTCCTCGATTTTTGCATCCGATGCGACCCTTCCCGGCCTCCGTTTGATGCAATTTTTATATCACCATGATCACCATTCTTTTCTCTATAGGTTGATCGGAGCCGAATCACCAAAACACAAACCTCACCGGAGAACCACCGCACCCGAGAGCACCGCCGCCGGTAAGCTTCGGTTTTTCGTAATTTTTTGGCCCCCCGAGGGCCCTAGGGTTGTTTTATCGTAGGGACCGATGCAAGTGTGGCCGAATTCGGCCGGAAACGGCCGAAAACGGCCAACCCGATGCGAATCGCCGCCCAAGCGGCGGCGCCGTCGCCGGAGAACGGCGGAGTCACCGTGCTGGAATTACGATATTGGCCGAAAGGGGCCCTGGACCTAATTTGGATTTTTTTGGAACACGTGCAGGTACCAGTAGTGCGTTTCAGTTCCCCGGGAAAAATTTATGAAAAATTAAGGACAGCCTGTAGGCGCACTGTGAAGCCGTGTTCGGACCCCGAAACGAGTAAGGACCCCTCACGCTATTTCCTATCACGGTATTAAAGTTCAATAATGGTAAAACGGTAATTCTTGAATCAACGAATGTGTGAAATTGCTTAAGGTCGCTAATGGAGCCCGAGTCTAGTGTGTTTGTCGGTTAACTGTTATTTGACATATTTTACAGTTTTAAATGCAGTATGAGGTCTGATGTTTTCATTTCATTGTTTCGTGTGCATATTTTATTGTTTTATTGATTATGGGTTGAATGACTGAGAAACCGATGCTGTATGTTGTCTTGTTTGGCATAAATTACTGTTTTGCTTGTTTGTGTGTGAATTGATGATGCTAACTGAGGAAAAGGGGAATGAAAGGTTATGTAAATTGATAATTATATAATGTGATCAGCCTGACTAGATATCCTGGGAGATTGTGGACGGACCGGGTCCGTAGGGAACCCTACCGGGATTGTGGTCTCTCATACCGGACGGGGTATGGAGACCCTATGTGTTTTGGCGCCCATACCGGACGGGGTATGGGGACGGCCCGTTTCACCCTCATACCGGACGGAGTATTGAGGTTTATAGTTTTGGCGCCCATACCGGACGGGGTATGGGGATGGCCCTGGAATCTGATTACAAGTGTTAAGGGTTCACGGGTAGCGGGACCCCTATGGATCCCCATGGATACTAGTAGGCTGTTAAAAGAGGAAAAATATGTCGTGTAATGATTGAATTACAAAAGGCATGATAAGTATTATGTTATACAGTTTATATGATTTCATGATGATGATAATGTTATTGCTTTCGTATACTGTTTTATGAATTTCACCAAGGTAAGTGGATGGTAAAGGTTTTATTATTGATAAAAGGATTTGTTGTAAATTATGCTCCATTGGTCTTTTTGTGTTTTCTACCCACCTTTACCTCCGTGACGGTGAGATATCGTGATGTCTTTACTGGGCTAGTGTAGCTCATTCCTTATTTAATCATTTCATATCAGGAAG